TCCAGTGGAGTAGCTATTGGACTAGGGACCCTACTGTGAAATGTGGACCAGTGCCCACCTTCCCATATGTAGTCCCCACCATACTACCAACCAGAATCGCTAAATGTAACTCCAGAGCTCCCAGTAAGTGCTTTAACTCTTATTCTTCACAGCAGAGCTGCACAGTAAAACCTCCCCATGCCACTGGCACTTGGTCATCTGATTTTGTATGTCACATAAGCAAGTACATGGGAAGTGTTCCTAAACTCTGTGGTGGCATTTAACAGCTTTCCTGAGTAGGATAACCACGCACCACCTTTTGGCCACCACCTTACAAATGAGCAGTAACAATTGATTTTATGAAGCAATGAATCGGTCAGTAACCTCCATGGGTTACTGATCTAAAGCAGGGGTTCATTGGCTGGTGCAACCGATTCAATTCTTTCTACACCAGAGCGGCTACCTCATTATCCCATCACCGCTAGGACCAAAAGTTGCTACTTCATATGGTTTTTCCTTCTGTCATCTGTTCCTTAAAACTCATTGTGGGCTCCTCAAACTCCTTATAAGGAATAAACAGGGTGAAATGTTACCTAGGTTTTTGTAAAAATACCACTTTGCACACCAAAGAGAATAGTAAAATGTTTTTCTATGATAAGTGAATGATGTTATTCAAACTGTGGTCTTTGGAAACACCAATGGCTCATGCCATTTTGACATTCTCATTGATAAAGACCCCCCGCAACCTGAAGATGCAAACAGCCAAATATATTGTACTATAGGTCACAATTTACTCAAACAAGAAAGTCACCATGGTAATTATCTACTGTATATAAATTTTGTGCACTCTCACGTCTTCCTTTTCTTCAGAAATGGTCAGATCATGTGGTTAATATTTTCAGTTGGTATGTGGTTTATGTATTCCCTTCTCCAACCTTTTTAGCCAGTCCTGTTTTACTGTGCAGTTAGAAATTAAAAACTGAGAAATTAAAAACTGAAATCGTTAAACAACGAGACAATCCCTGGAAAATGCTGATTTCTGGAAGCAGGAAGTGAGCTGTGTACTCCAAAATATCTCCCCTTATTCAATAAAGCTTCTTAACAATAGCATTAAAGTGCAACTCAAATTAAGGCTAGCTTCACATCCATGCACAGTGCTTGGTAATGCAAAATATGGTATGTGGTGTGTTCCATGAGCATTTTTTAGAATGGAGATCCAAAGCACATCTGCAGTAGCCTACAGCACACCACACTGCCCATGCTGTGCATTGTGGTGTGCCATGTTAAAAAAATAATACGTTTCATTTTTGTGTTTTTTTGTCTTTTGCTAAGCTTTGTCTCTTGCCTTAATGTGTTGCAAGTTAATTTATAATTAACAATAATTTGTTTAGTCCTGAACATAAAAAAACTGAACATTTCCTTAAAAGAACTACAATAAATTCTATCCTCTCTTTTCCAGAGTTTCATTAAGCACAGAAGAACCAGACCATGCCTTAGAAACAGACGACTCTTTTCTCAGTTACGGTCTTCGTCAAAGCATTGCCTCCTACCTGTCATTGGCTGAAGATGAAAGTTGTTCCCTCACAGGCAATGAACAGAATAAGAATCAAACCCGGAGAAGTTGTGTCTTATCCTCTGTCAACACCAGGAGTAACTTTATGTCTAACAGAGCAAGCTACACCGAAGGCTGCAGATGAGGAAAGCAAGACCCTACACTATAAACTTGACTTCTAATTTCAAGCAACCCAAAACCAATAAGAAGGATTCTTCCGTATGAACGTGACTTCTAGATTCAAGTGTCCCAAAACCAATGAGAAGGACTCTTCTTTATAAACTTGACTTCTAGTGTCACGCAACCCATGATCTACGAGAAGGCGTTTTCATTATAAACTTGACTTTATGCCACTCACGACCTACGGAAAGGCCTTTTATTATAAATATGAATTTAGTCCACTCAAGACTTACGGGAAGGATTCTTCATTATAAACTTGACTTCTGCTTTCGCACAGCACAAGACCTACAAGAAGGCCATCCATTATAAGTTGACGTCTACTTTCATGCAACCCAAGACCTATGAATCGAAATACGCCCATAGAATTTGTTGCGAATTTTGGAAATATTATTTATTATTTGGCAAAAACATTTTAGATTGCCAGTCCCTGCACCACCTTAAGCTTTTGGAGTTTTTGAAAAAAATTTGCAGAGACTTTTCTACAATTGAGAGTTACATTTCGATACACTGTGTTTTAGGGAACAAGTTTCCAATTGCAAGACATAATTTTTATGTCTATATGCCTCCAGAATCAAAAGGCATTCTTTGTTTACTATGATTCACTTTACAACTAATGGTGTATGTTTGACTGGTTTGATAGTGCTAAGGCATCTGCTTTGGGGGCAATACTCAGAAAATTGCCCACTACAATGATAATTTAAAGGAAGGGCTTTTTAAGAGGTTAAATATTACTTAAAGCCTACTCAGATAGAGTGATAAATTGCTGCCTGTGTTTATTTGTGGAGATTTGCGCTCACTTCCTTTCTTAATAATGGGGAAGCTCTCTGATGGCAATGAAAGCACAGTTACTTAGTAAAATAGACAAAGGTTAGAAGATCAATTAGGGTTTTATTTATTTTCTAGTGACACCTGTTCCCACTCAGTTCCTGTCATGGTGTCACTGGGACAGGAAGTGAAGGAAAAACTCACCAATGAAGACAAAGACAGCAATAGAAATTTGACAGAAGTTTTAAATTGACCCCAATCCTATCAATGCTGATACTGATATTAGAGTTTTGGGTGCAGGCTGACAGGGCTGTATTGCCCACTTACTTATATCCTTAGATAACTTTGTCAGAAGCATCTCCCTGATGAATTTCTCCATATCCTGCTGTAGGCAATATAATTAGTTCTCACTTGCCAGCTATGATATTTTACAGCATGGACAATGGAGCAGGAATGGTGAGAAATCTTCTTAAACTGATTATTTGTTGTGGCAGCGGAAAGGGGGGAGTAGAAACATTTGACAATAAAGTACCTAAGAGATGCAAGAAGACAGTGGGATTCAGCCCTCCTCCTCCAGGCGCTACCCATAACTATCAGTTTGTATTTGTTTAATGGTAATACCTAATTTCTGTAATAATTCAAATTGAATTATTGAAGATGCCATATTACAAGCAGCTTACATGCTACACTATACATAAACAACATGTGAATGTAGCAAAAACAAATAAAGTGCTTTGCAATGTAAAACTCCTCTGATGGCTCCATATGTATATAGATTTTATAGTTTGATGTAACAAATACAATATACATTTGGATTCATCTTGCAAAGTTATAAATTGCTCTTGTATTGTTACTCTCTAACGAGTTTGGTAACAGAATCAGTTGTGTATGTAATGCAGTTGTCGCCCACTGGTTTTCCTATATGTCTTTGGATCTAACCTCCACCAGTGTCCACCAACACCAATTACAAAGATCTCATCACAGGTGACAAGCAATTATTTGATTCCATGATTGGGAGCCACAATGATTTTAGAGAGTGGGAGTTGTCAGGATTTGCATGCTCAAAGCTGGAAAATGAAATGTAGATAAATTAACTTTTGGCACGGGCATCTGGGAAGGGTTTATTGCCATTTAAGAGTTGACAAGCTTACTCTGAAGGTCTGAAAAACCATAAATGTACCACAGTTAGTGGTCTGTATCCACTGAGAGAAGGACTGTCCTGATGATGCAGGAGCATACCGTAGACTTTGTAGAGACACAGATGTCAAGGAGGTGCACTGGAGCTCCCTGGACACTTGGGGACACTGGGGCACACTGGAGACACTAGATGATACAGGGTGGACTTGGAGAACAAGGGGACACACAAAGGAGCTACAGGGTGCACAGAGGCACACTTGAAGTAACTAGATGACACAGGATGCACTGGGGCATACCTGAAGACAGGACAAGACCAGAGGTGCATTTGGAGTCAATAGATGACATAAGGCTCTCTATGGTACACCTGGAGACATAGTGGCACACTAGGAGTCACAGGGTACACAGAGATGCACTTGGAGCCACTAGATGACACAGGGTGCACTGAAGCATACTTGGAGACAGGGAACGCCCAGAGGTACACTTGGAGTCACTAGATGACACAAAGCTCTCTAGGGTGCACTTTAAGACATGGGGATTCACAGGGGCACACTAGGAGTCTAAGACGCAGACAGGTGCACTTGGAGTCACCAGATGACAATGGACGCACTGGGGCAACACTTGGGGACATGGGATGCAAAGGGGTGCACTTGGAGTGACTAGATTACACAGGGCGCACCAATTAGGAGAGTTGTTTTCTGATTGGCTCCAACACTGGTGCTCCGGGTGAGTGTGACAAAATGCTGACAAAATAAATGCTGGAAGATACCTGAAATACCTCTCTTTTAGTTTTAAGTTTCAATAGTTTGAAATGGCAAGGCTCTAAATATTCTTATTCCCCTTTTTTCTCAATTTCTAAAGGTGAACAGGTAGCTAACAAGGTCAAGGAAGTATGGATCTAAACCCTAAAATGTCTCACCAATTAAAGCAAGCAAACGTTTATAGCTAAGAGCACACAAGTAGAAAATACCTGGTCATCCAAAGAACTTGCAATATATTTCATACAACCATGCTTTTTGTCCACTGTGATTGATTAAGAGTCTTTATCAGTTGTGATTGGTTAGGAATCTTTAGTACTTGATGCCTGTAACATATATTAGGGGTAATACCCTTCTTTAGCTTCATGCCAGGACTACTGCAAGGTACAGTGCTTGTCCGAGATCATTGATACCATCCAGGGAAATAAGTAACTGAGCTTCTGGGCTATTCAGAAGACTCAACTGGAGATAAGTGTTTTCTATTCATTTGTAGCTCATTTACCAAAACGTACATCCTATTGCTTTATGTCTAGATCTACTCCTCTTTACATACACTGCTAAGCAACTTAACACTATACATAACATTACAGAAGCAAGGGTTCTGCTTAAGATGGTGTGGTGTTTCAGCTTACCATTAGTGCAGCTCTTCTGATGGCTTTGTTCTCTGCTGACAATAAGTGAAGGCTGGAGATATCAGCTCCTCCTCGGTCCGCACCAACACAGATCTGTTCAGGGTCACCACCGAAATTAGCAATATTTTGCTGGACCCACTTCAAGGCTGCAGTCTGGTCTAGTAGGCCCCAGTTCCCATTTGGCACAGTCTTACCTGCAAATGGGTATCAGATCAGCTTTATGAAAAATATGGTCACATCCGAGTACAATTATCTTTTGCTTCATACAATCCTTTTATTACATGGCAATGCATGTATACTGAATATGTTATACTTGAAAAGCAATCATTGAAGTACATATACTGTAGACCCAATTCTTAAAATCTCATACAAGCTTTGACATGTTAATGTAATTCCAGATGTTTTCAGTCTCATTAAATCTGAAGCTCTCATTAAAATAATGCCTGATGATCCAGCCAAAAAGGCCTGTGTTCAGGCACTACCTTTTATGGGGTGACAGCTGTCTCCCAACTGCTCTCCTGTATTGTCACCATGTCACTTATGTCCTCAGATAGAGACTACAAGCGGCGGCGATTTAGGAAACTAAATGTCTGTTGCAGTGCATTAACATATGCGCATTAATATGCAATATTTGTACCTTAATGTGCGTTGCAACTTACCAAAACTTATCGAGAAGTGCCCATGACTCTTTTTTAGTAAAGCAACACTGCGGCACATCGTGCATTGCACTCTCTTGCACAGTGCATTGGAGCAAAAATCACAATGCATGGCACTGCAACATACCACACAACAGAGGAGGGGCATTCCCGCACATTGCTGCAGTGCAAAAGTGTGAACGGGCCCTATTGAAACTTTAATTTTACTTTAAAGTTCTACTCTTGGCAGCAGAAAAATATACCCTTGCAGTAGGGCCTTATCCCTCCAGCAGGCTTCTTCCAGGTTGTGTGACTGGTCCTCCGAAGCCTCTTCGCTTCGGGCTCTTTCCAGCGACCACACAAGCAGTCTTCCATTTTAGGTGAGGACAGCAATGGCCCATCCACAGCCAGTGTACTTTTAAAAAGAAATCCCGGAACTCAGCTTTACAAGGAAAGAGTAAAGCGAAGGAGGAAATGTCTTTTTTTGAAGTATGCCATTGTTGGTCTACAATAAGCCTGGAAAATGTAACTTTGTTAATTGCTGCCACATGTAAAGAATAAAGCTGTTTTGTTTTATGAGGCAGTACAAACACTTTCATGAACTTTCAGAGGCTAAATCTTAATATTGGAAAATAATTTGCTGCAGATTGCATAATTAAAGACTGATCATGCAATTACAACTTTGCTGAGTGCAATCTGGACCAGATTGCAGTTTTGTGATCTCCGGGCCAATTTAACATAACCGCAGAACCCTGAGACAACACATATTTGCATAACCTATACAAATGATATATATGCATTCTACATAAAATCAAACATACATTTTATTTTATTTCAATGTCAACTAATACACCTAAAAGTGATATTTTAGTTGTAGATGAAATGTGGTGAGTTGAGTCAGCCCCTGGCTGACTTTAACAGTGAGATCTCCCTGTGTTAAATGAACTTCGCACATTACACATCACTAACAATGAAATGACCTTATAGGAGAAATATTGCCTGGACTGCTCATAATGGTGGATCGGCAAACAATCATATATCTATGGGTCATATATCTATTGTTAAACAATCCAAGTAGTGATAGATTAAAATTGTTCGTCTCACAAAATTGTTATTGTCCCTCAGCGATAAAGGCAGCCCAGCAGGAGTGTGACTGGAACATAAACATGCCCATCCATCCAAAGAAATCATTCATTTTTGTTTCATCATCATTCTAAAGAACAATCAAGCAAGGGTCATATCTTCTGGCCACCTTCCATTCTAACTTTACCCAAATAAGCCCAAACTGTCCTTCTTTTCCCCGAACGTTGCCCTATTTTCCACAAAATCTATTTGTTCACCAATACCATTGGGACTTTCCTGCTAGAGTTAGGACTTTTGAGGGGTAGGTGGACCATCCTAAGCCCAGACAAAGATGTAAGCTTGACAATGTAGGAACTTACCAGCACTTAGGAAACCGAAGACACCAACTCTGTACCCTGCGGTCACAACGATAATGTCCCCTGTGGCAGCTTGGTATGATCCATCAATAAACGTCTGCCCATTCTCACCGTAGTCACTGGGACTGTTATGAAAGTACAAGAGGATGGCTGTGCTCAGTCTCTGTAAACAGAAGATGAGGAAAATTAACAAGAAGAAAAGGATACAGTATAGGTAGCATCTAGAGCTCCAGTTTAAAATTTGTTTACGTATCTATAAAATTAAAAAAATATATATATGTTTATAAAACTTCCTCAGTGCCCTGTGGTATGTTCCCAATACTGGAACTGAGAAAGCCACTTGGATGATCAAAGAGTAGATGCTGGATGAACATCAACATTACAGAACAAGTCCAACTGTCTAACTGCTACTAGCTGTTTTGCACATGTCTAGACAAAGTTGGGGTGTATGTAGCCATATTTTGGATTATTGCAGTATAGGTGACAAGTTGTGCACTGGAATCTACATGGAATCTTCTGTGTTACCAAATGAAACCAAGAGCTCACATTAAGGTGAAGTGTCTTAGGAGTACTGGCTTTGCCAAGCTCCTCTCCCCACCCCGCAAGATGGAGGAGGACAGGTAGAGGTTACGGCAAAAGGAGTTTAGGCAAATATGTATTACAGGCAGAATCTTGAGATAGTGAAGTGACCCTTTATTTTGCCCATGCAGTGCAAAGTAATAGGATCAGTTAAAGTGTTAAACAAAAACGTATCTTATTTGTGTATCAGTCAGCTGTAGATCCTCAAATCATCTCTGAATTGGTGCCGACACTGTCCTTCCTTCTGGAGGGTGACTACTTTTATTCCCCATGGTCCCTGTGTGTGTTGTAAAGTAGCCACCACTCCAAGCTCGCTCTCGTGATGGACTACAGTCTCATGTTTAGTTTACTAATTTGTATTGAGATTGTAGTCCATCATAGGAATGAGCTTGGATCAGTGACTACTTTACAACACACATAGGGACCATGGGGAACAAAAGTAGTGAAGTGCCGCAGTAAGGAGAGCTGAGCATGTGCTGCTATAGAAGAGGAAAATCATGTAGTTCTTTTGCGTGGTCTTGTAAGGACAATGGAAAGGGTCAATTAAAAAAAAAGGGAACTGCAGATCCTAACAGGGGTTTAATCATTTCCTTCTTTATCACAAGAAAAGGCTACACAAAGCCCAAAAACATCAGTCTGGCATCGCTGGTTCAGCAAAATCCTCTCTACTCTTGTTTTTCTATTACATTTGATACAACAGAGCTCTGCTAGCAGAACACCGCTCCTCCAATGAATTGTCTTTGGCTTCCAATATAAACATTAGAGCACATTGCAGAATCTTGTTTTTGGAAATGATGAAGAAACATATTGGCATGTTCCTAGTCTTATCCAACTCCAAATTTCTAATTCATTGTCAGAATTTTTTGTAGTAAAAAAATTGCAATAGGGCTTAAAGGTTTTCTAAACCCTCTGTTTTTTTTTGCATATATCTACTGCTAGCAAGCAGTAGAGATGATTTGAGGAGCTATTTTTAAGATTTAACTCCTGAGTTTAGTGTCACTTTGAAGATTAAATAACATAATAATAAACTTACTGTAATTTTGGGAACAAAGACATTAAGATACAAGCAGTCTTCACTAACAGAAGAGTACTGGGCCTTCCCATCTCCTGGCTGTAGGCAGCTTGACCTGATGAATCCAAGAAACAACAGTTATGGTACAGTGTACAGAGCACACAGATGATGTATATCTGTTCTTAGTCCTGTGCAGTAACAAACTGTACAAATGAATGTTCTTGGACTAAGAAAACCGTAAAAGGGTTGAAAAAATAAACATTGATAAAGGCTGATCTCCAGGCTTTCCTTCAATCTTGCACAGTTGTACCGACTCCTCTCCTGGACTGAAATTGCTTCCTCTGCTTACTGTGAGCTTCTCACAATGTGCATTAGAAAATGAACTATGAAAGATATAGCCCGGCTCATTTCCTTGCTAGAGGATCTAGCCCTTTCCTCCTCAGCCTGACTGTCCCTGATCCGCCTCATTGGATTTCAGTTCTGTCAATAGTAGAGGCTCAGCATTACATGTGGGTGTTACCTAGGTGGTCTGCATACAGATACAGTCTGCCTAGCAATGCCCACTACTCCAGATTGACAACCATTCATTAGGTTAATTTTGATAGTTGCATAACTCCGCCCAAGAGCCAGCCTGCTGTTTGCATCAGTCTAAAGGTTCTTGAGAGGAATACCGGGGCCGGCCCCTCCCACCAGCCATGATCTGCCTGCATTGCACAGTGGAGACCCTGTGATGACATCCTGGAAATACAACAGGAAGTCAATGGAACCCCCCCTTAGACCCTTGTCACCAAAAGAGTTATTCGCATTGGTGGATTTTCCCTCACCCTTCACTGACAACCACACAATTTGGGGTTTCTGATAGCAGTGGTCTGTAGGAAAAAAAAAGGGGATGAATTTCCCTTTTGGGAACAGAGGCAGCAAAAAAAATTCTGACGAGGGTTTTCACACTTCTCACTAATTCTCTCAAAGCTGAAATTCCTGCAAAATTAATCTATTTTCTAACAACAGAAAAAATGGTTCCATCCAAAGTAAACAACAGGCTTCCAATTTAATATTTGGTAACCCCCCCCATGCTGTATGTCACATGATTCATGCTTTACCTAACAAAAGTGGCATTCCACGTGCCAGTCCAAGTATATGGACGTGGAGGTTGGAAACGGTTCTCCCCAGTAGGTGGCGCAGCGTAAGGGACACCAAGGAACTGGTTCACAGTCTTAACATCCGAGCCAATAAGAACAGCTTGAGATTTGCCCACAACAATACCCTGAGGAATGGTGACTGATGCCGGGGGATGGGCAGGAGCTAAAAAAGGAAGATAAAGAAATTTACAGGGTTATTCACAAAAGAGGGAAGAGTTTGGGGAAGGCAGGAGAAGGGAACAATCTAGGACAACATCGCTGATTTAGAAAAATCCTCTAATTCAGCTCACTTTGCAGTTCAGCTATGTTGTCCTAAATTGTTCACTTCTCCTGCCTTCTTCAAACTCTTCACCCTTTTGTGAGTAACCCTGATAATTTTAGATTTAGTTAGACATTGAACTAGATGGCATCATGATAAGGTTAAAAAACAACAATTTAAAAAAGGACCCCTTAGTCAATGCATTAAAAAAGTCAACAAAAATATCCATAATATAATCCGTAATATCCATAATAGAAGGCTTCAGTGCTTTCTTCAGTGGAATATGTATGCAGTTCCGAAGTTCTGACCTCCCTCTGATAGACAATAGATATGTATTGCAGGTCAGTAACTCTGACAATATTAAAGGACAGGTGCACATTTAAACAAAGTGCACTTATCCTTTCCTCCCCTGACTTAACAGATCTTACCCTACGCAGATGTATACTTACCTCAATCCAATGCCTATGGCCTCTGGTGATTGTTTTCATCCCATGCCACAATTCCTCTCTGTCTTGGATACACCTGCACAGTAGAGCCCTATAGACTTCTATGGGGATCGTCCACCTCTGTCTCTCAGCCGGAAGACAATCCCCATAGACTTCTATGAGGCTCTACTGTTCAGGTGTGGTCAAGAGAAAGAGTTTATCACCAAGTACCTTTATGTTGCTCCACAAATGCCCTGAACATCATGGCAGTGGTGGGCAAGGTAAGCTGGACAAAGCTCTCAGTTACTGAGCACTGACACCAACAAATCAGTAAAATGGGGCAGTGCTGCACCACTGGGCTGTGTATGAACCCAATGCGCAAGGCAGAATTGATGTACTGACTTTAGCGTTGCCTCTAGAAACTTGGGAAGGTGGCAGGTAACCAACATGTCACCCAACACATATGCAAGGTGGTGACTGCCCGTCACAAGAAACAGGTTGGAAGAAGCTGTTTCCAGGGGGGGGGGGGAGATATAATTTTTTTGTCATACAGAATAAAACACTTGCATTAAAAGACCTAATTTCAGATAAGCCAGAACATCTTCTGTGCATTTTCCTTGAGGTCCATCTTTTAAATGGCTTCCAGCCAAACTGGTCCTACTTTAGATTGCAAGCTTTTTGGGGTTTAGACTGATGTGAATGGTTCAATGTTCCCAGTAAAGCATTACAAAAAGTTTAAACTATATAAATAAGTATAATAAACATTTGAATGGCTTCCTGTTTCCTGGTCTAAGTAGCCTTTTTGACCCAACTGAAGATGCTCCTACTAAAAGCCATGTACTGATTTTTTACTTTCATGATCAGAACTGTCGGAGTTCATCTGCAAAGGAGGAGATAATACCAAGGACAAAGGCAAATAGGCAACATAGAGTTCCCCTTTAATCATATCTGTATGCCTTTTATGCAGTACATGCCATACCTCGCTTCCTGAAGATGTAAGTTGCGGGTTCTCGGACTAGAAGCTGACAACGATGTCCTTTCAGACTGTAGTAGCAGTTTTGTGTTTCTGGATAAAATCGACATTTTATGGCAGTCTGTAGCACATTAATAGTAGTTGTGACACACGTGGGGACCCGTGCACACTCTGCGAAGAAATCACATAGGGTGGGAAGACAATTAAACAATGACTTTATTCCAGAAGTCCATGGTTTACCCACCTCCATGTAATGTTTTGCACCCTTGCTTAATATGTTTAGCTTTTTCTTTAAACTCAAAATAACAAGCGGTAGGACTAGTAGGGACCAGCAACCCTGCACATATGAACTAAACAGCAAACCCATCCAAAATGTATCTTTTTTTTTTCGGAAGGAGTGAGCTGTATTTGATTCCCTGCCTAATCTATAATACAAGCAGAGAAACGGGATATTGGAATGCTGGATTCTATTGTGTAATCGAATATCCCAATGGAGTGTGTCTACTAATGTAGAGGCCAACTTTCTGATACATAGGGGCTCTTTGATCAATCAATCAATCATAAAAACAGGAAGCAGAGCGCCAAACAAGTGTTGCCGTCAAACAGACTACCTTCATCAGGTATAACAGTGTTGGATAAGGATATCTTGATTCCTGACAACAGGAGGTAAGTATGTATCTTGAGCGTACAATTTCTAGAGGAGCAAGCCTTGCTGGGTTAGCAGGCCTACCGGATCTAATTTATTGTCCAGAATCTTGGAAAGAAGCTTTCCCACAATCACAGGTTTAGCAGACCTACTGGATCCAACTTATTGTCTATAACCTTGGAAGGAATCTTTCCTACAATCACAGTGCAGCCATGGCAGGAAATGTTCAACTTTTTCGCAACACATGATTCAACAGTTGTGTGATTCAAGTCCTTTAGTGAAATCGCTATAGGAATATATGGATGACTCATATAAGCCAGTGAAAACAGTAGTTTAGCAGAAAAACTGAGCTTGGCTTGTCACAGCTGTGTCAGGAATACAGAGAAATCCCCTTGCCAGGGTTTCAAACAGCAAAGAAGACATGGCATGCCTGGCCTACCTGACCCAAACTTGTGCCCAGCATGCTTGACCCAAAAATGAGAGATGCATGTTGGGCAGAGTCACTCTCTCAATGAAAATCACAGAAAACTATTTGGTGTAAGTTCTAAACCTACTGCTCTGCTGAAGCTTGATGGGGGCACCTGTCACAGGAATTTGAGGGCAATCCCCATGACATGACATCAATCAGCAAAGAAGATCTACCGTGCCTACCCTACTTGACCCAAGTCGATCAAACCCAGCCTGCTTGACCCAAAAAAAGAAGAGATGCATGATGGGCAGAGTCACTCTCTAAATGAAAAATCACATAAAACATTTTTGCTTAAGTTCTAAACCTACTGCCCTGATGAAATTTGCTGTTGTAACTATGTCCTTGTAGGAAGTCAATGAAGATGTGCTATTCTTGGCTGTGGTTTTATATACTGAGAAATTTTGCGATTCAGTAATGGCCTATAAATATGTATGGAATTAATGGTACATTCGGGAACATTGATTGTGAAGTCTAAGTTAGTGTATATTTTAGGGACGTACCTTCCAAAAATGTTGCTTAGAGCAAACATCTGACCCAGTTTAGGCCTCGTCCAGGCCAAAAAAACACCCTTGACTGTGCTGCCTATATGCATGTGTTGCTGCATACTTTTTGTCTGTCAGCTTTTAATGTGCATTGCAAGCCACAAGCTGCAGTAAAATGTAGAACTGAAATTTTTTACACTAATGTAGTTTTCATGCCTTTGCATTCTGGGTAAGCTAAAAATTACAGTACATTGCTTATGATGTGAACATGCCCTCAGGCATTGATGGGCCTTGAAGGAGACTTTACCTGAGAGACAGTAACTCTGCACTGTGGTAAGGGGATTGGACGATTCTCGACTGATCTGCACTTCGTCATAGGTGGAGAGGGAAGAATCAGTTGTCACAGCACTGGGGTCCAGAGTTATCCAATCATCTAGCGGCACTGCAATGGAGCAGAGGAGAAATTAAGATAGACTACTGAAAATTGTATGAGGAATTGATACATCATCATATGATAAATATGTAGCTATGTATTAACCCTGAAAAAAAAGGTGATAGGGGATGGTTTGGGGAAGGGGGGGGAGTGGAAGTAGGGTACAGGAAAGGAAAAGACAAAGACAAAGGAAATAAAAAGAGAAAACATAGGAAGTAAAGAAAGAAAACAAAACAAACCGACATAAGAAAAAATAAATAAAAATGAGGGGAGAGGAAAAGAGAAAGGGGAGGGAGGAGGAGGAAAAGAGAGGGTTGGGGGGGAGGGGGGAAAAAAAGATAGGGAGAGAAGAAAAAGGGAAGGGGGAGGAGGGGAGAGGAGAAAAAGGGAGAAGAGGGGAGGGAAGAGGAGGAGAAAGGAGAGGGGGGGGATCGAAGATAGGCGAGAAAGGGAGATGAGGTGGAGGGGAGGGCATGGTAGAGGAGAGGAGGGAATAGGATGAAAGAGAGAGGGGAGAGGAAAGAAAGGGAGAGAAGGGGAGAAGAAGGGAGATGAGGGGAGAGGAGAGAATAGGAGGGAAGAGAAGTGTAGAGGAGAGGAAAGAGTAAAGCGTGGGAGTGGAGGGGAAGGGAGGAGAGAAGGGAAGAGAGGAGGGAAGGGACAAGAAGAGGAGGGATTGAAAGACAACGGGAGATTAGAGGGGAGAGGAGAAGAAAAGAAGGGAGGAGAGAGAAGGGTAGAGGAGAAGAGGGTAGGAAAAGCAGAAGAAGAGAGAAAAGGAAAATAAAAGAAGGATGAAGAGAAGGCAAGAAAGGAAAGGAAGAGGGGGAGGTAGGAAGGGTAGAGGAGGAAGAAAGGAGGAAAGGGGGGAATTAAGGAGAAATGGGGATAAGCAAATGCAAAAAGATGAAAGGTAAAAGCTGTACAGGAATAAAACACAGACATGAAATAAAACATGGGATTATGAGTAGTTTTGTCTCAATGATTCTCCACACTGCAGGATACACGGCTTCCAGCTGCATCAATATGTGGTTGAGGGCAAAAGGTAAAACAGCAGCCCGCCATTCTGAAGCATCTATTTGTTCTAAAATTACCCATAAACATATCATTTTGTCTGTGTAATTATAGAATTCAGCAGAGCTGCTAGATCAAGAGATTACAGCTGTCAGTAAACTTTATTTAACTCTTCCGCTGAACTTGCCAGCTCATTATAGGTCTGGTGAAGGCCATTTATAGGTGCTGATGACCCTAAAGATGGAAGTACAAACATCTGTCTCTATCCCTACACTCTCAAAGCTTTCTTTTTTTCTCAAAAGCTTTCTTTTTTTCTTATTTATCTGCTGATTGTTTAGATCACATGACCAAAAGTGGAACTTCAGTTTCGCTTACAACTTTTGCATTTGTTGAATAGAAACAAACAAGTTCTTTAGTTTATACTGTGCATTTTAAGTGTCTTTGGATTTTAAGTCCCTACAGTTGAGTGGATGCAAACAGTTAACCCTTCCCCTATATGGATTCTAACACTTACCCCTGTCCCATCCTAAACCTCAGAGATAGCGAGCAGAATAAAAAAAATTACAAAGAAAAGGAAAAAAAACCTGCGTGGGGCCCCTTTCCCTAACTATACCAGACATACATGGTTACATAGTTACATAGAATTTGAGGTTGAAAAAAGACACAGGTCCATCAAGTTCAACTTGTGTGTGTGTTGTGTGTGCGTGCGTTTATATAAGAGTCCCTGTGTAGTCTAGTATTTAAGAGTACCTGTACCCCTATATGTTACCGTCTCTAAGGATGGTATCTAATTGATTTTTGAACGAATCAATATTCTTTGCAGATACCACTGCTTGTGGCAGAGAGTTCCAAAATGTAACCGCTCTCACTGAAAAGAATCCCCTATGCCCTTTGTGGATAAATCTTTTCTCCACCAATTTTAGGTGGTGGCCTCTAGTCCTTGTTAGGGAGTTTTTAGTAAAAAGTTTAGTGCTGATGTTGCCATCACCACTGAACATTTTGTACAACAAAATCATGTCCCCACTTTAGGTCTGGTAGGAATGTTAGGAGGGACCCCCAGTTAAAAATGTAAAAGTGCATGGGGTTCCCTCCAAAAGTCATACCAGGCCCTTTAGGTCAGTTAGGAATTTAAGGGAGAACCCAATCCCCAAAAAAATGGTTTAAAAAAATGTGGGTCCGTACTAAAATTCTCAACCTTAATCCGGGCACATGCCCTCTGCATTGGGAGGGTGCTTTTCCAGGGGCCACACCGGAAAAAAAACCTTGTCCTCATGCCGATGGGAACAAAGGCCTCTTCTCCATAAACACCCGGTGGTTGTGGGGGTCTGCGGCCAGGGGGGCTTATTTACATCGGGGTACTCCCTTTCATAAAGGGGCAGCCAGATGTAGCCCCCCCCCCTTGTGAATGAGTAAGCGGTACTTGTACCCATACTCATTCACTAAAGGGATACCATAAAATGTAAATAAACACATAAGATTTGTAGAAAAAATCCTTTAATTGGACAAAAAAGCCAAAACAATGAAAAAGAATAATCTAACGAGGTAATCCAAGGGTCAGTCACATCATCCAGTGATGTCCACGCCGCCGCCGACTCGTCAAAATAAAATTTAAAAAACCAACCATATGCGACGAACTCCCGACGCAAAATGAAATTTTGGCAGATGCCGGCCGAATTACAACGAATGGGAGGAGTCAGCTGCCCACAACCAACAAGGACCCTGTGCTGTGTTGCAGAAGCTGTGTAAATCTCTGGACTGGATGGACAAATGTACAAATGCTTTGGCAGCTAAAATGGCTCCTATATATGTATTTCGGTGCATTTAGCTGTTTGCCTGGAGTTCAGCTTTACTTTGCCTTTTACATATTAAAAGTGCTCATATTACCTTTTTAAAGGGCCCTGCAAGCAGTAAACTCTACACACTCTGTAAAGGTTTACAGCTTTCAAGGACAGATTTGCACATGCTTTGTATCCATTCAGATTTAAAGGTTGCAGTTTTTACAAGCTTACTTTTTTTTCTTTAGAACTATAATTATTTTATCTTTTCCCTAAGGCCGTCAATGTGTTTTTAACAGAAATATCATGTTTTAGAACTCGGAGACCCGCCGACCAAGCTTCAAGTCATTCCATTTCCCAGTCATGTGTTTTATACATCTCCCCCTCACCTTCTTCTCAGGCACTTTGTGGCTATGAGTTTATGTCTGGCTATTTAGCGACGGGCTTTTTAGTCTGTGGTCAGAGTGATATTTGATACAGTTACACAATGAGTTCTTCCAAAACAAAATTCCTCATGTTCCTTCTAGGGGTAGAAGGATGTCAAATATAGACATTTATATCATCACCCGCCTCATACATCTGGTATATAATTAAAGCCACGCCCATTACCCCATTACCGTTAGCCATACCTACCTCTTAATAAGAATAACAGCACAATAGGGAATCTCACCCCTCAAATTTACCAATCTAGCACTTGCTTAAGACGGACCTTGAATGAAAATGTCCAAGATCCATGATCCGTTTTTTTTGTAGCCCCCTCCCCATCCACAAGAAGTAATATTACATGAAACATTTGAAGCTAGAAGTAAATGTTCTAGAGCAGTAGAGTTCTCAAACTCTATAACCTCAGGACCCACATTTGTCCTTGGTCATTAAGTCGTGACCCAAGTCGCACCGCACTGGAACGCATGGCATTGCGTTACCGCATGTTCCGGCACAAGCGATCAAACTGTTGGTGGGAGGTGTGTTTTGGGTGCCATTCAAATGAATGGCAATGCAACGCACCTCCTGCACTAGAACGAACAGTAGGTACGATTGCGTGGTAGTTTGCGATTAAAACACTGACAGACACACACAACCACAGACACAATCTCACATATTCACAGACATTCTCATACACACTCCAAATTTGTTTAGGGGTTCAGTGTGGGCTGCTGTCCTGTGCTGTAGCTCCATACATACGTGTATTGCTTGTACAGTTCCCTTGCACTCCCTGTAGAGGTACCGGGAGCCAGAATGTGACGTCACTCCGGTCACGTGAGGGAGCTGTAAGGAATGCACATATGGATGGAGCTCCCTCGCGACCATTTACCCAGACCACCCTACTTTAAACTGACACATAGTTACATAGTTACATAGTATTTGAGGTTGAATAAAGACATTAGTCCATCAAGTCCAACCTATTAGGATCTCATTCTAGGAGTACCCGTACCCCTGTATATTACGGTCCCTTAAGAAATCGTCCAAAAGTTTCTTGAACAATTCCACATTATTTGCTGAAAATACCAGACACTCGTCGCCATGCAGCATATTTTTACGTGGCTGCTAGGCACGAGAACTGACATTGCTGCGCTATGGGGGAGGCTGAGGAGCCTCTTGCCTAGTGCAGTGGAGGGCATGCAGTGACCCACTGAACATAGGGTCATGACCCACCAGTTGAGAACTGCGGTTCTTGACGTTACAACCTGACTTCAGGCCACTTCCTGTAAGGCCAGCATGACATCACTGAGATCTCTCCTGGGATTCTGGGAATGTGGAGGAGGCCAAATCTCCTGAGAAGTTGTTCCAGCATTGTGCAGGAGTGGCTTACTCATGAGACTTGCCTACCTCCCAACTTTCTGAGATGAGAAAGAGGGACACCTTCCAGGAAAATGTATTTAGGTAATGGACGCACCCCCTGCCATGGCCCAGTTATATGTGGATCAGGAAGAATTCACATGTCAAAAATGATTGGTTAAACCCACAATGGTTTTTCCTTTTTAAAATAGCAAATAAGATAATTAAGAGATAAGATGAAGGTTTTAGTGCAGAATAATACTTTTGGTAGTTATATAGAGCCATATCCTAGGTATCTGTACATCAGACCTGATCCCCAAAGGCAGGTGGCGTTAACCTAGAGGTAGTGGGGGCTGACATTTCACTCTCAGGGGTGGGACTCGTCAACAAAAGCATTCCAGAGGTTCCAAAGGTTACAGTACTAAAGATGTGTTTTTACTTCTGTCTGCATTGTTGGTGAAGAGCTTCTGCTCACTCCCAGTCCCAGTGACACAATGACACCACACAGAGTGACCCAATTATAAAACAAACAAAAAGGTTTGGCTGGATTTCTGTTTTAGGGACACAGACTGCAATAGAAAACGCCATTTATAGCGGAGTGGGGAATGGTTCAAACCAATGTTAAGCTTTATTTGCTATTTGTCCTATTTTCGTGACAATGGTCACTGGCGCAGAAAGTAAGCGGAATCTCCCCATTTGGAGAAACTAAGCTCCATCATTTTTCTACACTACCTCTCACTTTGCCCTGAGATGACAAAGGATTCACAGAGCAGTAATATTTTGCTAAAGAGACAGCATAGCAATGGCTGGCTTTGTCTGATTAAAACGTTGGACTAAGCCATATGATAAATGATGAGTGACAGCAGAAATGAGTCATACAGTAGTGTGTGTAATTTGCAGCTTGAGCTACTGAGCCCTGGAAACAAAAAGTGATTAACAACAAGCTGCTAAGCAGTTTTTGTATACCATATGGAAAAGAGACTAAAGCACCCCCTGCTGGCTAAAAGCAATACCAGTATTTCTGTGATTTAAAAAAAAAAACATTTATGTTTTTTTACTCCCATATTTAGGGCCGCCCCTTTAATAAGGCAGCGTAAGGCTGTCGCCTAAGGTGGTATCTGTTTGGGTGACATGGGGGCGCCACAAACAGAGCTGCATGGCCGCTCTGTTGCACAATGTTTGCAGTGTGCCTGCCTCCCCCTTTCTGGCCAGAGCGTCCCATGTTGCTAACAAACCAAGTGTGGAGATGTGTAAGGGCCATACATATCTTCCAGCTCAGCTCTTAGCAACCTGGGACGCTCTTGGCGCCATCTGGCTCGGCAGTACGCTGACCATAGCGTCCCAGGTTGGTAAGAGCTGGGTGGGGAGATGCAGAGCCCTTATACATATCTCTGCCCAGCCCTTAGCGGTGTCACTCTGACCCCAAAACTGATTGCCTGCAACATCAAGCACACCCCGCCTCAGGTGGCAGAAAGAGTAGGGACATCCCTGCCCATATTAAATAAAGAATATATTTAGAAACACATCCCTTTTATGGAGCATAAATCCCTGCAAACTGTGCATTGGTCTCATCCTTCATATACCACAAAAAGAAATAATATGATATCAAAAAGAAAATGTAATGATAAGGGACAGTGAATGTGATAAATAACCCGGACACATACGATAAAAACTTCTGTGAACTGAAGGTATTATTATTGTTTACAGCATTGGCCCCAAATGTACAATATAGCCATTGTGTTTACCTGGCTTTGTGTTCTTGAGAACTTCAACTGTTGAGCAAAGCCCTGGCAGAGCCGACCCCTCTGCAAAAAAAAAATATGATACACTTCTTCACAAAGAGAAATCAGCATTGTAAGATTGTATTATGGTGCTAAAATCTTACTGATTTCCACTTCCAGTTCTACCTTGACTGGAACCAGTTCAACCCCAGGTCAACGCAATACAAACTAGACAAATGCTTCCTGCACGTAAAGTAGATCTCTGACCAAACTATTAACATTCAAACAGTTTACCTATCTTTAACAAGCAGTAAAGAGTATTTAAAAGAATCCCTAATTGACCTCTGTAGCTGCACACACCTCGGAGTAATTCATCCACAAAATGCTTTCACTCTCATTTTCCCTCGCTAGATGGTTTTGCCCCCCCTCATCTCGGAGACCATTTTAACTTTGAGGTTGAATTGCTTTACAATGCCTGCAGCTGCAGAGGTCAGTCAAAGCTTATTCAAAGCATATTAGGAATTTGTAAATAATTTTAAGTCCATAGGCTGACCAGGGCCAGATTTCCCACAAGGCCACCGAGACCGGGCCTTGGGGGAGTAGAGGGGTAGCAGGAGTGTGGAATTCCAATCTCTGACGCCCGGGAAATGCAGTTCCGGGCGGGGTATTTTTTTTCTACATTTAGCCCTGCTTTGGGCAACCAGCCTTCCCATGTGAGCTGTCACGGGAGAGCCAGTACAGTGATGTGCTCAAACTGCTGTATTGGAGATGACAGGTTCAATAAAGAGAACCTGTCAACTCCAAATGCTATCACACAGGCTCAAAAATAAAAAATTACATTTAAATAAAAATTGATAAAAAATGTAAACTAAATAAAAAGTAAAATATAATAAGACATAATAATAATTCAAACAAAAAAGTGATAAAGTAAAAAATAATAAGATAAAAAAATTGTCAAAAAATTGTCAAAAGTAAATAAAATAAATAAAAAAGTGAGTTTTAAGCAGGATTAACTAGTAGAAATATTTTATACACGTGGTATTAATGGTTGTATATTTTTAATGCTGTTTCAGTACTTTACAGAGAAAAGTGAAATAATATTCATCTATATTGATTTCAGCACGTAATTATTGATTTTTCCATGGTTGAAATTTTGCCTAAATGGAGATTCCTAATTTTGCAAATTGAGTTGCTTAGGTGATATTTTGTTTAAGGGAAAACAAATCCACTTATTTTGTATTTGGGGGGTAGGGAGTTGTGGGGTTTTTTTTTTAGGGGATTTAGATGTACTTAGGGGAATTTTTTCTATTTACTTTGTACATTTTTTTAAAATAATTATGTGTATTTGCTTGTTTTTTGTGTACTGCTAATTTCCAGTTTTTATTTTAGTTTTTTAAGAGTTTTTTCCTTTCCATGACAATAAAATAAATAAAATGAACGGTAATTCTGCGCTAAATGGATGTAGCTTTCAAACTTCAATCTAAATAAAATAATGAGGCTTCCTAGGGGCCATGTTTTGGCACATGAATAGGTCCAGGATAGTTGAAAGGAGCTTCTATAAACCTCAGGAGCCATTTACAGCCCATTGCACTCTAAAAATACCGTGTTCATTTTACCTTCCCCATTGTCTCCAATACATTTCACCAAAATAGTGAAAATTTGCTATAATCTCCCACTTTGCTCTTGCCTACTGCTTGTCTATTGAGGTATTTGGGCATTTTGTACCTAATTTTTCCCATTGTTTGATTCTTATATACATGATTGATCTGCTCTTTGGTGTTATATGTTATAACATATGTACTCAACCATTGTGTGATGGTTCTTGCATTTGTGCTGTGCAGTTTTAAGGCAGCACCATACCTTATAACATATACACAGCTGTCACTATAATGTTGCTGTTGCCTCAAGCAGCATTTCATTGGGTCATGCGGGGGGACAGCAGGAAGCACAGCATGGCCACTCTGCTGCACAATGTGTGCAGTGTGCCTGCCGCCCCCTTACAGTCCAGAGCGTCCCAGGTTGCTAAGAGCCGGGCAACCTGGGATGCTCTGGCTGGTGTCCTGCTGAAGTCACTGGATGCCAGGAGCTGAATGGGATGCAATTCCCCCCCTCCTCTGGTTACCATGGACCCCCAGCACCCCTGTGGTGAAAACTCTAGGGACACCCCTGAATATATACTAATTCTGCTGTACACTGTATATACCACCGTTATATTCCAGTGGCTCCTTCGGGGGCGGGCGCTACATAGCAAACACATTTTAGGGATCCCTCAGCATAGTCTGACTGGGTAGATTGATCAGGAATACTGCAGTTGGTAATGGCCAGTGAGCTTTGTGTGTCTTCCGGACAAGACTGAACACCTAAACTGGCCAACGTCAAGCAGATTCTCTCCGGCCCTGGAAGAAAGTTTCTATATTGTATAAGAACAAAAGTTGCCATAGTCGTTTCTATATCATTTCAACATTCGTCACCAACTCATTTTAAAGTGACATTAAACTCAGGAGTTAAATCTTAAACATACATTCATGCACCTTAACTATTAACAAAACTGGACCTGTTTTGTGTATCACTCTGTCATTAGGGATGCACCGATACTGGTTTTCCAGTATCATAGTATTTGAGGTTGAATAAAGACATTAGTCCATCAAGTCCAACCTATTAGGATCTCATTCTAGGAGTACCTGTACCCCTGTATATTACGGTCCCTTAAGAAATCGTCCAAAAGTTTCTTGAACAATTCGAGTATGAGTACAGATATTTATATATCGGTACTCGCCGATACCGAGTACCGATACTGGTGCTTCCGCTAGTATGGAGCCGGCTTCCCGGGCAATCAGGGAGCTGGGCAGATCATTACCCGCCGCCCGGCTTCTTGTTTGCCCAGGAAGCCGGCTCCATGCTGTTTGACCAGGAAGTAGGCTTCCCAGCCAATCAGCATGGAGCCAGCTTCCTGGCCAATCAGCATGGAGCCGGGAGGTGGGTCATTACCTGCCACCCAGCTTCCTGATTGGCCAGAAAGCTGGCCTCAAGCTATTTGGCCGGCTCAATGCTGATTGGCTGGGAAGCCAGCTTTCCGGGCAATTAGCACGGAGCCGGCTTCCTGGCCAATAACATAACATGTGAGCACCATTTAGTGCAGTACTATAGTGAGCCCAGGCTGTGGGGGCGGATCCATGACAGCATGGGCTCAGAGGAAGTGCTGGCTGTCATTCAAACCAGAAAGCCGAAAAACTGAATGGCTGAGGTGAGCAGCTCTGGATTGAAGGTGAGAACTGCAGAATTTTTGTTACATTTAGTCATAAATAATTCACATTTTTACATTTAAATAATTAATTAATAATTGTTATATTTATTTATTTATGTATTTCTTCCTTCAATGGGTTCTTTATTTGTCATTTTTCTTTTTTGCCGGAGATATGCTTTAAACAGCTGCCTCTGCCGTGCCTAGCGCTCCTGTAGGTAAGCCTGTTATACAATAGTCTGGTGTATTGTGTACACGTCTAAGCACTGTGTTTTGGCAGCAGACTTCAGCGTATTACATATCTATCTTGTACTGATGGATTAGCAGCTAGTAAGCACATTGTTCAATGCTTTCCCGATGACTCAGTTAACACCCCGGAGCGGCGGAGACAGAGCGCATTGTACTGTGCAGCACACCTGTTTCCAAACACTGCTCTGCCTATCAAAAGATGTAAACCTGAGAAAGCTCGCTCGGAGCGAATATCACACAAAAGGTTCATTTTATGGCATCTCCGGCTCATTCAGGCCAGGCTGCATTTTTCTTCCAATTCAGAGAAATGCGGATCTAAAAAATGTCATCCGGGTTTATTAGTGAGATATGTAGTGGTGAACTCATTGTACTGGGGCCCCCGGGCCTTTCCTTGAATTCATGACTATGGATAAGCAGTAGACATGTAAGTTTCGTTTCGTTCCAAACTGAAATTAGAATTTATCCGAATTTCGGATACATTCAAGTTTCCAAATTCCAATACATCCGACTTCAAATGTATCCAAACTTTTTTTTCCGAATTTCTTTTATCGGCTTTTACATAGTTACATAGTATTTGAGGTTGAATTAAGACACAGGTCCATCGAGTTCAACCCATTGCGTGTATTGCTTTTTTTTTTTGGCATGTCTAATGACCAGTATGCACTAAAATGACCAGTATGCACTAAAATGACCAGTATGGACTAAAATGACCAGTATGGACTAAAATGACCAGTATGGACTAAAATGACCAGTATGGACTAAAATGACCAGTACAGACTAAGATGACCAGTACGGACTAAGATGACCAGTCCAGACTAAAATGACCAGTGCGAACTAAGATGACCAGTAAGGACTAAAAAGGTCAGTGCTGTCTAAGATGACCAATTTGGACTAAAATTACCAGTATGAACTAAGATGACCAGTATGGACTACAATGACTAGTACGGACTAAGGTGACCAGTCCAGATTAAAATGACCAGTGCGAACTATGATGACCAGTAAGGACTAAAAAGGCCAGTGAGGACTAAAAAGGCCAGTACAGACTAAGAAGAGCAGTCCAGACTAAAATGACCAGTGCGGACTAAGATGACCAGTATCGACTAAGATGACCAGTATAGACTAAGATGACCAGTATAGACTAAGATGACCAGTATGGACTAAAATGACCAGTAATTTTTTAAGCCTTTACATGTCAATTGTGCAGAGAATTGTGGCAATATGGCAAAATTTGGCAAAAAATGGCATTACTTGCTTAGAAATGGTGTTGCTACAAGATGACATTAATAACAAAAAAAAGTTTATTGTGTTTACTTAATAACAAATCAAATTGAATCTGTTAAATGTATAATTAATCACGTTTTGCCATACCTGGTCCTTAAAGTGACATTAAAGTCAAAAAAATGTTTCCCTCCCCCCAATGTTAATGTCAGCACTTACCTTTAATGATGTCTCTTAATCCGATCTTCTTCTTTACTGATGCTTTCATCTGTCCCTCCAGCGCTGCGGCGGGTGTCCGATCCAGCGCTGACTCCTCTGAGCTTGCTGGCACTTCCTGTCCCACGGTGTCTGCATGCGGGTGCACGTGTCCATAGACTTACCTTGTGTCTCTCCTCGCGCCCACCCCAAGATCCTCTGCGGCCGCCCAAGATTTTTCCCATTTTCGGACGGGAGCGCGCGGGGAATACACAGGTGAGTATTAACCCTTTTCAAAGCGGGTTTTTTTTTTTACACTTTTTGCATATATCTCCTGCTTGCTAGCACTAGATATATGCAAAAAAACCGTGAAGGTTTAATTATCCTTTAAGTGCCAAAAATGACCCGTTAATCCTACCAGGAACCTTGTGATCTGATAACATCCTGTGCTGATCCTTATCAGTCAGAATTGTTACCAGTTCTCTCAGGGGCGTCCCAAGGCCAAGTGTCACCCGGAGCGTGCGCGATGATGTCATCACGCATGCACGGCGATCTTATTGATGCCTGCCGGCGCCATCTTGGTGATGGCAGAGAGAGGAGGGGACATTCACCTGGCGGGATAAGGTATGCTGCCGGGTCCCCTAAAGTTCTCTAACTACTAAAGAACACTTCCCTGCAGTGTTTTTAAAGGGTATAACATGGGCAGATGTGCAAAATATTTTTTTTTTTTGCCCTGACTACTACTAAAGTAGTATTAAAGTCTCAAACCTTATTTCAGTAATGAATGCAGATGAAACAAATATACATCACCAGCAAAATATTTGTTTACATTTTTGCTCACGCACTTACAGCCATCATGTTTCCAAACAGCTCCAACTCTCTCAGCTCAGCTTCCCTGAATTTCCTGTCAAGATCACAAGGGACCGAGCAGACTATGGCAGCTGTCCATGGGGGAGCAAGGAGCAGGGAAGGGTGTTTGTGAAGACACACACACTCTTTACTAGCACACACAAGGGTGGCTCTATAGGACCATGCAAGGGAAAGGAGCCCCCCTAAGAAAGGATATCAGTGCCAGCATTCAGGGGACATTTGATTTTGCAGGAAACTAAAACTTTTAAATATCAAGGAGCAGCATCCATTGTAAATTATTTAGACTTTAATATCACTGTAATGCTAAACATGGAACCCCAGTTTAGACCTACCTTGTATCCCAGACCTTTGTATATATCCAAACCCTCTACAGCACGGGTCAGCATCACAGTGCAGCTCACACTGGAAAAATCTGAGAATGACACACACACAAATGAAAGTTATTTTAGTAGCAATGAGATTGTCTGACCAGTAGTATTATAATGTCATGAGAACAAAAAAGCCCAGAGACATGTACGTGTCACTCCACCAAAAACTGGCACCCCAGATAATGTTGGTGTGTGATAGGTGTCCATCCTTTACTGATAGGATGAAACCGGCCCTTCCTCTGTCTCCAGGGCCAGCCACTTCCTACATGTGTCTCTAGCACCAAGCTCTCCTCTGATTTAAAGTGCTGAAGTACGAAGATCAGCATGACAGCCAAGTAACTGGAATTTGGATGGGATGGAGAGGCTAGCGACGATACCTCCATGCCTCTCTCAGGACAGGCTTTCTTTTAAAGAGGAACTTTACCCTTATCTTCAAAATAACAACAGTCACCTTTAGAAATGTTTAGTGATGATAATCTACAAACAGATACGTCTAGATAATTGCCTGCTTTTTATTCTCTGCATACCTTAGTTTTCTTTTCCTCCCCAGTCTTCTCACAGTGGCCATTTTTACGAAGGGCAGATTAATCCATCTCCCTTTATTTCCTGGAGCTCTGGCACATGTGACTAGGACATGTGACCATGCACATCATCTCAGGGAAGGGAAATGCCTTTCCCTGAGATTACAGATGAGATTTCCCAGCAATACTCTGCTGATGTAACCTTCCCAGGATGCAACGCTTGAAAACATTACATCACTAATGCCCAAGAGGACCAGGAAGTAGAAAAACAATAATTGTAAGTAACAGAAAAATATGTTTGTTTAACTAATAAATGTAAAATGATTTCACATCACCATGCAGAGCTGCGTGCTGATGTGATTTTTAGTCAAAGGGGGTAAAGGTCCGCTTTAATGAGACCATACCAGGCCCTTCAGATCTGGTAGGAATTTTAACATTCCTACCAGACCCTTGATCCCTTGATTTCCTCTTCTGCAGACTGTAAAAAAAAAAAAAAAAGTTTTTCACAATGTCACTTTGTTGCAACGAATGAACGAAACGACAATTCATCGGGCGAATTTAGTCCGAATCCGAATCCCTAAACAAATTGAATTTTGGACCCGAAAAACTAAATAACGCAAAATCCGAGTCAAAACGTAACTAATTTTTTGCTAGTGCACATGTCTACTGGACAGCTTGGCCTGCTGAGGAAATTAGAAATGGATCTACTGGCAGGATTACCAATAGGTTAAACAATGTTACAGGGGGGACTCAGTAAAACAAAAACTGCAGTGCTGATGTTATTTTAACACTCTGCATCATATACAGTAAGTCATTTTTTTATTTTGCCCATAGTTATACTTTAATTATGAAACTATGCCAGTTTCAAGCACGTTTAAAGCACACTTGATTTTAAAGTGTCTGTGAGTTCATAACTTACCCTTTAGATACACTTTCCTCAGTCACTGTTATCCGGTTCCTCACAGTGATCTGTGCCAGCTTGCGGTACGGCACGGGTACGTAGAAGTTTTTTACTTTGTTACCAATTGTGTCTGCAGATAGGAAAAATACCAATTTTATATATATATATATATATATATATACACACACATATATATACTGTATGTGTATATATATACTGTATAATTTATTATAATTTATCTAGTCACTTATGTGCTAATTTCATGGAGTAGAAAATAGTCTGCAAGTCTGTCAGGCCAAAGAAAACCCAATCTCGGATGTCTATTGTGAAGTAGTTGCCCATTCCCTGGTGCCCAGTAGGTAGTATTTGTCCAGTCCCTGGTGCTTAGTAGGTAGTATCTGCCCAGTGCTTGGTGCCCAGTAGAAAGTATGCCAGCCAATCATTACAAATGGCCAATGGTAACTATTTGTCTCCGTTTTAGGTGCCCAGTGAAAAACATTTTTGCCTAGTCAGTTGTGCCCAATGGAAAGTATATGCCCAATCACCAATGCCAGTGAGAAGTATCCTGACCATTTGTAGGCACCCAGGAGGAAGTATTGTGTCCAGTGCCTGGTGCCTAGTGAAAATGATTGCGCCCATTGGGAATTATTTTGCCCAATCCTTGCAGCTCAGGAAGGGGGGGGGGGGATAGTTAAAGCTCTGGTGTCCCTTTAGGAGAACAATGCCCCTCCCTGTGCCTAGTGAAAAGTATTGTGCCCATTGGAAAGTATTTTGCCCAATCCTTGCAGCTCGGGAAGGGGGGGGGGAAGAAGAACAGTTAAAGCTCTAGTGCCCAATTAGGAGAACAATTCCCCTCCCTAGTTTAGTCCCCTGGAACCAATTAGAACTTTACTGTCCATTGAGCCCCAATGGGGGGGAGGGGTGCTACAAAGTTCTGAGACCCAGTGGGGAGTATTCCACAAAGTTCTGAGGCCCAGTGGGGCTATTTCATAATGTTATGAGGCCCAGTAGGGGGTATGCCACCAGTTCTGAGGCCCAGTGGGGGTATTTCACAATGTTCTGAGGCCCAGTGAGGGGTATGCAACCAAGTTCTGAGACCCAGTGGGGGTATTTCACAATGTTCTAACTTCTGAGGCCCAGTGGGGGGTATGCCACCAAGTTCTGAGGCCCAGTGGGGATATTTCACAATGTTCTGAGGCCCGGTGGGGTGTAAGCCACCAAGTTCTGATGCCCAGTGGGGGGTACGCCACCAAGTCCTGAGGCTCAGTGGAGGGTATGCCACCAAGTTCTATCTCTGTGCCAATCATCATTATCTGTATCATTGCACTCCCCCTGTCAGACAATGACCTGTGACTGATACAGACCTTTCCTGCGATACAATCTCTGGGGCTTATTGTTCAGTAGGATGTCACAATTAGCTGGAACGAGGTCAGTGTAGTTATTGCAATTCCATGTGTCCGGGTAAATGATACACGTAAAGAATTCTTTCATCGAGTCCCGTAATTCCACCAGACGACACCACGACTCTTGCTCCTTACAGCCTGCAAAGAAAGCAAAGTGGATTTCTCATTTCCAGTGAATGCAAAACCATTTACAGCCCAAAAAGAGCAATCCAATCCCACTGGAGGAACAACACCTAATTACTGCTGATTGAACTGTTTACACTGAAATATTAGATTCTGGCAATCCAAAAATTCACATACTAATCCTAGTATAAGTTACAATGGACATAGCGTGACTGCAAATGTGTCTTTCTCTGTCTAGTTTCCTCCATGGTATATGACGGCTCTACTCTAACATCTGAGACTCCCATTTTATAAACCCAGCTCTGTCACATATTTGAGACCTGCCTGACTTATCTGCTCCTCGTATAAAATAAAACACTACAAGAGCTGCGTTTTGTTCCTGCTCTGCCCTTTTTGTTCCATGTCAGAAGTCAGGACAGATACACCCCCAGCAAGCCTGATATAGACTTTCTACCGGTGTGTGAGGGATGAAGAGAACTGTTCTTAGTGTTTGTAGGGGGGCTACCCCATTCACTGCAAGGATGAAGTCCTCATTTTGGTCTAGGTTCAAAAACAAAAACAGTTATACTCACCCGATCCATGGAGCTGGCTTGCTCTTAGACCAGTCTCTGGAGTATCTCTCCCCCTCTGCTGCAGCAGTCTAAGGTCCCTGAGTCATCACTTCTATATTGTGTATAGTACGTGAGGACATGAAGGGACATAGCACCGCGGCAGCGGAGAAGAAGACAGGCTTCAGGGACTAGAGTAGCAGCCAGCCGCCTCCATGGTTCGGATGAGTATAACTTTTTATGGCAAAAAATGAGCACTTAACCCTTGCAGGGAGGCGGTAGTCCCACTGCAAGGGTTGAGAACACGTTTGCTTTAATATAAAGAAAGACTGCAGGCAGTGACAAAATGTAACCAAAGAGCCTCCATTTAATAATTGTTTGGATCTTTATTATTGTAATTTCTTTTGTATTATTTTTGTATTTTTTTGAAAACTTATTTTAGATCTTTTGTTTCCATTTCTATACGATATTTTACAAATAAATATTTAATACAAGGTTTACGCGTGACAAAGGATTCACAGAGCATTATGGATTTATATAACCACAGAGCACAGCAGAAGTTGCTCCCTTTCAGGTCCATTCTGTGAATGAATCATCATACAGTATGAATAGAGCAGCCAGTGGAACATAAGAATGGGAGGAAAGTTCCCCCTGACTCACTCAGCTGTGCACATTTGATCTTGAGTTATTGCCTGTGTTTTCTTGCTGTTTCTTTCTCTTTTTTGGCAAAGCAGTTAAACATGTGAGAAATAACCTAGAGCTCCCTCTGTTGGCTATAAATGTTACATTTTATTCAACGTGTCATATTAACCTGACAAGCGATGAAATGAAGCTTTAAAAAAGTTATTTATTTATTCCTGAACCTAATAAAGGTAAACATCTACAGTAATTATATATATATTGCATTTACATTTGTACAGCTCCTCACCTATGTCATGCTATAACATGTGTATGACTGTGAGAGACTGCATATGTAATATGATTTATTCATATAATGGATAAAAAAAAGAGAACTATGGGGCAAGTGTTTTCCCCAAAGTTCTCTTAAGGGTCACGGGAGGACATATCCTAGCCTCCTCCCATGACCCAAAGCTCAGTATATCGCGAGCTGTACTGAGACTGCCGCAGCCGGGACGGATCCCGACAATGCGGTCGAGATCCACCCAGCTGTGTGAGTGACAGCTGGCTCTGGCTAGCTAGAGGCAGAGCCAGCTGTACCCGCCCCCTCCCCCGTCCGTTCCGCCAGTCAGCGCTGGGGGATCAGAGGGCGGGAATCCCTGTGGGGAGCGGTGACTGTCAGTCACCGCTCTCTGCAGGGAGATGATTAGGAAGTGAGCGAGCAGCAGTATGCGTTCGCTCACTCCCCGATCTATTGAGCCGACGTGTGACAGTTTCATTGTCACCCGTCGGCTCGAACTATGAGGTGATGATTTTCACTCGCCTCATAATTCTCCTTTATATAATATCTATCTATCTATCTATCTATCTATCTATCTATCTATCTATCTATCTATCTATCTATCTATCTATCTCTCCATCTCCCTATCTCTCTATCTACCTACAGTAAACTCCCCGTTATCCGCATCCACGGGGATTGGTAGATTCCGGATAAATGTAGTTTCTGGTTGCTTGAGATTTACAATTAAAAATAGGTCTAACTAATGCCATACCCCATACTATAGCCAAAACCATACCCCATACTATACCATAACATAAACTCTGTATTGACTTCCTATTAATATTAAAATGCAGTAACAAAAAGCAAATTAAGATAAATAAACACACAATCATTTCCAGGATAATACAGGCCGCAGATCAGCAGAACAATGAGTACACCGGGAGATTTTTCTGGTTAGATGAGAGTTCTGGTTAGATGAGAGTTCTGGTTAGTTGAATACCGGATAACAGAGAGGTCTGTCTGTCTGTCTATCATATTGCTCATTAGATTCAAATATATTCAGCAACCTTTCATGCATTCCTGCCCTTTATCATGCTGTTTGGTAGTTACCTGTTTCCCACTTCCTGCTGGTTCCCGCTTGTGCTGTCCACTCTCATAAACTATATATATATATACATTTATTTATTTTTGTAACACACACAATTTATTTGACTCTACAATGAAAAAAAAAACTTGAATGCTGTACTTATTGTTACAATGCAAACCTAAAATCTTTTTCTTCAGTAAGTTTGGCATGAAGACAAGGCTGCTGCAAATTTCGAGGTGGTGCCTTAGTATTCTCAGACAGCAGCAGGAAATGCTGTTACTGGCAGGATCTTCATTTCATAAACCTTGTAACAGATTGATATGAAGTGATTTTCTTGAGAAAATAGTATACAGTTATTCATGGTGCCAAACCTACTGAAATCTAGGTTTAGGGTTTCCATACACTCTAAGGCCCGGTTCACACCTGGGCGTTTTGTAGTGCGTTCCTACGCTCTGCAAAACACTCAAACACTGAAATCCCATTATTTCCTATGGGTATGGTTCACACCTGGGCGTATTACAGGCCGTATGAACGCGCTACAAAACGTCCTACGCCAAAGGAAGTACAGGAGCTTCTTTGGGGCGTTTTTGTCGCGCGTTTCCATTGGGATACAGCCAAGTAGCCCTCGGAAACGCGCATTTGTCGCGCGTTTTTTACCGCGAATCGCGCAACACGAAACGCGCATATTCGATACGCCTAGGTGTGAACCCAGCTTTAGACGAGTAGCCAAACACTGGTCCTCCAGCTGTGGTGAAACGACAAATCCCATGATGCATATCTATCCGGGAGTAATGTCTGTGGCTGTGAGAATGTTGCAATGCCTCATGGGATTTGTAGTTCCACCACAGCTGGAGGACCAGTGTTTGGCTACCCCTGCTCTAAGAGGAATCTGTAAGCTTTTCAACATTTTTCAAGAGTGAACTTCTAATAAGAGGGCGAGAATGCTTTGTTTCAGTCAGTCAGCCCTGACTGGTTGAATTGCTCTGAGACAAAGGAGGAGTGATGTACAATTATTGTGCAGCAGCAGTTCTTATATAATAAGCAAATATGAAATCTACAATGTATATTACAAAATAAACTCTACAATCTTTATTACATGACCAGAGTAACTCACGTGATAGGCACCAGTTCTGTGCTTGTTCAGGTGTGTACCGATCTTTGGAGATCCAGTATTGGGTGTGTGCTAGTACAACGTCTTGGTTTATCACAACTTCACCATCGTTCACAGGAAGGAAAAAGCCCCGTACAGACTCTGCAGAGATATAGAACAGGTAGAGTCCTATTAAAACAGACATTGGGAGCGGCAGTAGAGCAGCAGATGGTCAGACACTGCGTGTACCCGCTCCAGGACAATGGTGTATGGAGGGTCCCACTGCCATTCAATTATATGCAAACTCATTGATTAAACTCTCTTGTGATATTAAACATGTTAGAGTTGAACTTTATTCTGCTATTTTGCCTTCCTGCTCTCCCCATCATCATGCTAACAACATTTGTAAAATAAACCCCTTACATTGTGATTACAGGCCTCATATTAGACCCAGTGACTTAATTGCTGGGTCTCTGTGCTATTCTAAGCAATGCAGGCAGATCATCAGAACTAGTGTCCCCACTGGAAGATTTCCCCTCTATTGTCCTGGTGACAACCCAAGATTTAGGATTTTCTTTCACTTTTAGTAAAAACAGTCACCAGAACAAATAGAGAGGGTGAATCTCCCTAACATGGACACAGACCACAATAAAAACCTGACAGGGGGTCTGATCCCTCTCCACTCTGGCTTCAGTTCCACTTTAACCTCTATGGAACCACCAGACATATATATACATCCTTATCCTGAAGTAGTTGTACCAAGATCATGGCTGCTGCTGCAGGTATCTTGGTATTATTTTTTTCTGCAGAGGATGCTTGTTAATTACCAGTGATCTGGGTGGCTGCACAGTTGCCCAGGTCACTCGTAGCAGCCTGTAAATGTGCTGCATTCCCCCTCCCCTTGCCGTGGTGTTCTGGGTGCCCTATTCCTCTGGGGGTCCCAGTGGCACAGCAAACAGGAGAGCAGGAGCAGCAGACCGATGAAAATCCTTTCCCCGATCTACTCTGTGATGAATGAAGAAGGGAGCGCTGTGCTCACATCGCTTCCAGCTTCAGAGCTGCCAGAAGCCGGCTGAAGTGCCAGTTACATGGGAGATCAAGAGCATTCCTGTGCTCGATCATCTGTATTGGAAGACAGGAGAGACATCAGGGGTCTAATAGACTTCTAATGTCTCCATAAAGAGAACCTGTCATCTCCAAACTCTACCAGATTTTAAAAAAAAGTAAAAAATTACTTTGGCCGTCGCTATCCCCAAGTATATTTAGCTAGCGCCAGCACAAAACATAGGGGGGTCCTAATTGCTTTTACTGGAGCGGCCCAATTTGTGTGTAGAGGTGAGATCAGGGACCCGGCGGGGAGATATCTCTTACTCTCTGGAGTATTACATGACACAGAAATCACTATCGTTACGTACTATGCCCCCAACACGAATCAATATCCATTCTTCACACACCTCTTACAAGTGATCGCACAACATCAAAAGGGCACATTGATACTCTGCGGAGACACCAACTCAGTACTGTTCCCCTTTCTCGATAGGTCGGATTCCTCCTCCTCCTCTAACACCCGCCCTCAAGCTCTACGCTCCCTCCTAGCGCGTAACTCACTCATTGACAGCTGGCGGGAAATGCACCCCACTGAACGTGATTATACTTTTTACTCTAACCCCCATAACTCCTTTTCTCGTATTGATCACATATTCCTAGCCCACCCTCTACTACCCTCACTCACCAAAGCCCGCATCCTCCCTATTTCCTGGTCTGACCACTCCGCAGTTCTGGTCACTCTCTCATCGCTCTTAGCTAGTGGGGCTACTCCGTCTTGGTCCTTTAACGATTCCCTTTTCAAAAAAAGTAAAAAATAATAATAAAATCAATAAAGAAAAAAAATAAAACTAACCCCACCATCCCTGTCATCTGCAATTTTTCCACATGTTGGTTACTGCCGCGAATGCCAGAGTGGGAACAATAATTTTGGGGCCATAATTCACTCTAAACTGATGAGCAGTAAAGGCTTTTAAGGTGTCGTCTATGGACAATTTTGAGTGCCATTTTTTGTCACCACTGTATTTATTTACTGGACATGATCCAAAATTGATTTTAGTGTTTTTTTTACCCTAAACATATTAATTTGATAAACATTTGCACTAACATTGTGAGACATAAAAAATAGCGCTCTCATTTTTTAAAAAAAAAATATATAATTGTTTGGGAGTTTTAAGTCATTTTCTATCAAAAATCCATATTTTAGCATGTGTGTGCAGAAATTAAAAAAATACTCTGGTACTAAGGTACTTAAAGTGACATTAAAGGAGAACTATGGGGTTAGGGCTTTTCCCCATAGTTCTCCTTAGGGTAACGGGAGGCCACAAACTAGCATGCTCCCATCACCCTAAGCTCAGTATACCGCGAGCTACAGCTCGTGGTATACTGAGACGCCGCAGCTGAAGCGGATCCCGACAATTATGTCTGGATCCGCCGAGCTGCGTGAGTGACAGATGGCTCTGCCTATCTAGAGGCAGAGCCAGCTGTGCCCGCCCCCTCCCCCGTCCGTTCCACCAGTCAGCGCTGGAGGATCAGAGCGGGGAGGTGGGAATCCAGCCCCTCCCCTGTCACGGCAAAGAGCTGTGACAGGATCGAGAGGTGAGCGACCGCCGGTATGTGTTCGTTCACCTTTCCGATCTACGGAGCCGACCTGTGACAGTTTCATTGTCACAGGTCGGCTAGAACTATGAGGTGAGTGAAAAGCACTCACCTCATAGTTCTCCTTTAAAGGCAACTTTTTCTTTCCTACCCCCAATGTTAATGTCAGAACTTACCTTAAATGATGTTTCTTAATCCGATCTTCTTCTTTCCTGTCGTTTTCATCTGTCCCTCCAGCGCTGCTTGCTGGCACTCCCTGTTCCACAGTGTCTGCATGCGGGTGCACGCGTCCGCAGACTTACCTTGCGTCCCTCCTCGCGTCCCGGCCGAAAAAGGGGAACTGCGCTCGCCCCAAGATGCTTTGCGGCCGCCCCTAGAATTTTCACATTTTCGGACGGGAGCGCACGGGGAAGACACAGTGGCTAACACTGTTAAGCGTTTTTGTTTTTTTAAACTTTTTGCATAGATCTACTGCTTGCTAGCAGTAGATCTGTGCAAAAAAAGCTGAGGGTTTAGAAACCCTTTAAGAGGCACTTTTTCTTTTTTTTTTGCTGTTGTGCTGCACGGTGAAATTTGAGGGCAATTTTAGTGAGATTTTGTTGAATGTGAAATTAAAAAAGTTTGCTGCAAAATTAGGTTTGCCAATATTAGGGTGCGGATCGTGTTTTGTTACTGGTGTTCAATTGCGAAAGCTCTGCGTCACCAATCAATATACCGATATTTGTTGATGTTTTGATTTGAATATTGAGAATGTATTAAATCTATTATTCCTTTATAGGTATTCAAAGAATTAAGATAATGATAGAAATAAAAACACAGGTACCTGTAATATCAGAAGCGTTCTGGGGAGCCCTCGCTGGACACTCTGCCTCGCTGCTCGCAGTCCTCACATCTACAACACAACAAAACAATTATTAGATCTATCTGTAAAAAATAAGTCAAGGCAACTAGACTTGCTGTATTTTTCTTGAAGACGTTTCACTGGTCGTCCAACCAGCTTTCTCAATTCTGAATTGAGAAAGCTGGTTGGATGACCAGTGAAATGTCTTCAAGAAAAATACAGCAGGTCCAGTTGCCTTGACTTATTTTTTACAGTTATACCATGACCTGGATGAATGAGAACCTTCACAGACAAATATTGGACCGTCCCCCAAGAAACAACAAATTAGCTTCTCATGAATATAGATTGTTTCCATTTTCATGGAGCACATTTGTAAATTAACGGGTCGACACTCTATTATGGGGTCTGTTCTTAATAAAAAGTAGTTGTTTTCCGGTACTCGCCGATACCCGAAGTCCCATTGAGGAATCCGGGTGGAGTGTAAGGATTCCCCACCCGGCTTCCTGATTAGCTGGGAAGCCAGCTCTATGCTTCCTCATCACCTGGTGACAAGGAAGCATAGAGCCGGCTTTCTGGCCAATCAGGAAGCCAGGGGGCGGGTAATGACTTGCCGCCCAGTTTCCAGATTGGCCAGCTTCCCGACCGATCAGGAAGCCAGATGGCGGGTCATTACATGCCGCCCGACTTCCTGATTGGCCGGGAAGCCGGCTCCATGCTCCCTCGTCCCCCAAGAAAAGTGGGCAGGACCGTCGAGAATTCTTAGGTGGACAGGAACATTTGGGAATTACGGCCAGGAGATCTCAGACCTGGTTCACAATGAGCGTTTTGTAGCACTTTTTCTGATCTCAAAAAAATCCCATTTATTTCTATGGCCCTGTTCACATCTGAGCGTTTTGTCGCAATAAGCAGAATGCCTGTCGCCGGAAAAGGTACAGGAGCTTTTTTTCGCATATTACAGCTTGTTTTGGCCCCATAGACTGAAAAGGAATTGCTTGAAAATGCCCGTTTGCTGTGTTTTTGCGTGTTGTTATGCGCTTTTTCTCATTAACATCAATGAGCTACAATCTGCTCACAAAAAAACGTGCTTTTTGCAGAATGCGCATAAAACACACATAAAAACTTGCAAAAAACGCTCAAAAACGTGCATCAAAAACGTGTGTTATAACGCTGTCGCCAAGGTGTAAAGCAGGCCTCAGTGTTGCAGTGTCAAATATACACTGCCTGGCCCAAAAAAAAGTCACCACCTGGATTTCAGGCAGTGTTATGATCTGGGGTTACTTCAATAGTTCAGGTCTAGGTTCAGCAACGTTATATGCCTAAAAAATGAGGACAGCTGCTACCTGAATACATTGAATGATCAGGTTTTTCCATCAATGGTTTTTTTCTTCTCTGATGGTACATTGGGCATATTCCAAGATGACAATGTCAGGATTCATCGGGCTCAGATTGTGAAAGAGTGGTTCAGGGAGCATGAGACATCATTGTCACACATGGATTGGCCACCACAGAGTCCAGACCTTAACCCCATTGGGAATCTTTGAGATGTGCTGGAGAAGACTTTACACAGTGCTCCGACTCTCCCATCAATAAAGTAAATATTGTGACATTGCATCAGCTTATCGAAACGATGAGGATGTGAGTGTGTGCCGTAATCAAAGCTGACGGAGGTCCAACTAAATATTAGTGTGTGACTTTTTTTGGGTCAGGCAGCGTATATAAGAAGCCAGGGGCTGACCCAGACCAACAGGCTCCACTATTGACAAAAATGTAACTTTTGAATGAGCTAACCCTTTCATTTAAGCAATTGAATTTAAATAGTGACTAGAAGTTATGGCGGGAGCTCTCTATAAATCACCTGTGCGTAAGAAGACATTCTGAAAACCAGTGAAAAGTGACTGAATCTCTTCTTTGATGTCCTCAGTCAGCTCTGTGCTGTACTCCACCATTCCGACACTCTGAGACAACAACGAGTAGCCTACAAAGAGAAGAATTGTCATTCATATGTCCGTCTCCCACACCAAAGAGCTACTCACTATTTATTAAAAAGACTATTCTACTAGCAAGAAATACAATATAATTTTTCATAGAAGATACAGTATATTATAGGGCAATGCCGTTTAGGAAAATTATAGTACCACAGTTTGCGCGTTTAAAGTAGAGCTGAAGCCAAAACTTTTTTCATTTTGGATAGGGTAAGGGAGGGTTATAACCCTTGTCAGCTTTTTTATCCATATGGGAGGGGAATCTCAGTAACGGGGCCACAGACCTGTTACGGGCTGTAGTTTCTCTCCACTTGATCGACTTTAATGGTTCTCTAAAAATTGTCCTGTGATTTGCAATTAAAGTGCAACTGAAGCCAAAAAAGTTTTCTTGTTTTGGATCGAGTGGAGAGGAACTAGAGCCCTTATCAGATTTGTATTGCTGTCTGTGTCCCTGTTAGGGAGATTCACCCTCTCTATTTGTCCTGATATCAATTTTTGCTGAAAGTGAAAGAGTGAAAAACTCCTTGAGCTCCAGTTAAGGGACTTTGTCTAGGCTTACAAGATGTCCTCAGTCTGCTGCAGGCAGGAGGAAGCTAACGCTATACATGTCCCATTGGACCCCTGGCCTCAGTGGCATTCCCCCTCTCCACCTTGCCTCTGAGTGCCGCCTGACGCCGCCACCTCAAGTGGCCTCATGGGAGTGAGGGAGGGAGGCATGCCTCCCATGCCTCTGCTTTCGTGACCCTGATGGATCTGTTCTTCTGGAGAGAAAAGCAGATAAAGTCATAGTCAGGGGAAGTTATGTGATCTCTGTGAGAGGTAATAAATACCTGGAAGTGTTACACTTACACATTACTCAGCATGTATGTGCTTTTGCATGAAAAGTGATATCTGATGCTAGATTCAGGTAAGTCTCAATGTTGGTATACCATAATGTTGGTATACCTCCCCTAATTTCATGCCGAGTTGTTGTGCCACTCCACATGCTCCTATGGAGACAGTAGAGGACCGATGACAATGCTGACTGCGTAAAGTCAAGAGATGCCAGCCCCAGAAAGAGAAAGAAAGCTGGTATTTAGGGAGGGGAGTTCTTTTTTGGGAGTAATGTGTAAGTGTAACACTTCCAGGTATTTATTACCACTCACAGAGATCACATAACTTCCCCCGACTATGACTTTATCTGCTTTTATCTCCAGAAGAACAGAGCCATCTTTGTTCAGGCATCACCCAGGGTCACCACAACTTTTTGTGGGACCCTGAGGACTTCTAACAACTCAGCAAGTGACAAGTCAGTCCAATCCATCCAACATGTCAGGTGGACTTTTAACCTTTCAGCCATAAAATGAGTTCAAACTTAATAACTTACTTCCAGTGAACTCTTGTCCTCCTAAGAAGAATGAGAACATTTTCTTCTGCTTGTTAGATGCGACCCCTCTGCAGATTCCCTCTCCGCCCAACCGCGACGTGCTACTCCAGTCATTCTTATTACACAGCAAGACATCAGGAGACCTTAGCAATCCGCACACAATGGTACCTACATCATAAAGCAGAAATTATTTACAACGATGGACAAACAGGTGGTCTACCAGTATTTAAAGAAGGCACTGGTGATGTAGCCCTAGTAGGAGGGAAGCAGGAAGGCACTGGCTACATCGCCATAGGAAAACCAAGAAGCTCAACAAATAAATAACCCTACATATGACTATAAAGTGATTACTATATAGCATGCAGATAAATAGTTGGGGGGTGGGGGGTGGGGGTATGCTTTCATGACCATGGTTTTGTATAGGATGTCCAACAAGCCCAAATAGGTGTAAGGATCAGGTGTCCACAAGTTAACCTTTGACCATACAATGTATCAAACTGTAATTACCATCCTTTAAAGTGAATACACATTCTCCGTGTGATTACTATGTGTTCTGAACCTGACTGCAGTCTAATTCATTCAGTATTTGTATCTACTTCAAAAGCACTATGGAATTCACATATATCCTGCTAATACATACAATTCATATCAATAAACTTCCTGTTCTATACCATAAGGGGAGCAGATGATACTCTATTATTCCTATAAATCCCATTTCTCTATTAGGGATCCAAGTTTTATATTAGTTTGTACATGTTTTGGGGACACTCCATAATCAGTAGCGCTTAATTATTTTCCTAACTGTGTTTTAATTAAGCAATTTACACACATCATCTGCACCCCTCATGTGACACCATTGGATTCCCAAGAATGTATCAGTATAGGTATTGATCTAGAACAATGAAGACCAGTCCACATTGGAAGTCTCTGCAGTCTACTGGTTTTTAAATTGAATTCAAGTGTTCTATTGTTCTGTTCATGCAGTTGTTTTTGTAGCTTTTCTGTGGCCATTTTATATAGCCCTTTACTTATCATTATTCAGATGAATTTATTTGTTGGCTTACAATAATAGGTAACAAAACTTTTGCAGATGTAATACCATAGATACTGGGAACATAATAAGGGTTAGCAGTTGCAGCGCCAGATGACAAACTAGGGATGAGAGGAGTCATTTCTCCAAATTTGGCTACAAGATTACCATTTTTAGCTTTGACAAAATGTCATTGAAATTTTGGCAAAATGTAATTGTTTAGATGAAATTTGCATAAAAAATGACATGGTGATCACATAGCCTTGTTTATCAACAAAGTGACAGTTGGCTCTGTAACTCTTTCTAGATGCACCTAGAAACAAATGCCTTTCTTAAAGCTGCATTGACCGTTTTTATTAATTACTTTATCATATTTCAAATTTTTTTGCATTTTTTTCACAGTTCTACTTTTATCACAAGGGAACTGTTTACCTGGTTGCTGTGATGAGGCTCTCCAGATTCATGCAGAAGAGCTACCTAACCTAAGCCATCAGGCCCAAGCAGTGATTACACCTACTTCTCTGAAAAACTCAAGAAAGATACAAATCCATCCCTTCATTTGCCATTTGCTTTTCTGATAAGGTTCTGCCAGCTCTAAACCCAAAAGTGCCCAGCGCTGATCACTTCCAGGTTAATTTTCAGTACAGGTGCTCTGGGAGTGAATATTCTCTGATCTCCTCCACTCACTTGGCATCCTGAATTCTCTTGTGCCATTTCCAGCTCACCTTGCTCTTCTGTGGCCTGGAGTGGAAGGGACGGGCACTGCGAGAGGAGGGATAGCTCAAATTTACAGCCACTCAAAACACTTCTACATAGATGGCAGAGATCAGCAAGATTTACAGAAACAACCCCAACAAATGAATAATCAGAAAGCAGTAGCACACGTGGGTTTGCTTTCAATCTCACCGCCCACAGTTACAGTGGTGGCAGTGAAAGGGTTTATCATGCTGATCACTTAATTGTTGACCACTCAGAGTGCTTGGGTCCCCTGCAGCACTCTGCAACCCACGTCTGAAGATCAAGCCTCCAGTGCATGCTGCAGCTGGAGCAAGGACTATAAAGGACATCCCCCAGGATGGGGAACTTGGTTCCCAGCTAAATCCAGTTGAGAATGTGTATAAAAAAAATGTTGTATCTGTCAAAGGAATTATATTTCTCTGAATACAGCCTTAGAATCCAGAGATCCCTGATAAGCAGGCAGCACTGTAATGTTAGTGACCTCACTTTTCTCACTGCATTTAATCAATGCAGCTTGGACACCATCCGGCCCCTAGCCACCGGCCCCTAGCCACCGACCTCTAGCCTGTTATTAGGCAAGAAAGAAGAAGCACACTGATGAGGTAATCACTTTGCTTTTCTCTCCTATAAGTTAGCACTTCTGCCTTGCAGAACTGGAGGTCCCTGGTTCGCATCCTAGAGAAGGACACGATCTGCAAGGAGTTTGTATGTTCTCCCTGTGCTTGCGTGGGTTTTCTTCGGGTACTCTGGTTTCCTCCCACACTCCAAAGAAATGCTGACTGTTTAATTATCTCCAGTCTAAATTGGCCCTTGTGTGTGATAGTGACCTTAGATCGTAAGCTCCTTGAGGGCAGGGACTAGCTAAAGCTAAAATAAATAGAGCCTGATTGGCTAAGAGCACTGTCCCTCCCTCTCACTGTGTACTGCAATACAGGAGAATTATTATAAAGACAGATTTAGGCATTTATGCCATTTAAAAATGCAGTCAGTTAATTTTTATTCATAACTGGATTGTATTGTATGTTTAATATCAACCTGGAGTTTATATTTAAGAAGTTAATATATGTGAATATAGTTCACAAGGACACTTTGTTCTAGCGGGTGAATCCCTAAATACTGTATATACTTATCTTTTATCATAATATCTTCAGGCAAAGCGGGAAATACATTTGATAAGCCAATACAAAACCCAATCATGATGTGGAGTGTACACTCAGATTAGTAAAAGACTAATGAATTGGTCGCTGCAATGTTCAGCACGTTGTACATTATTAAGTCATATACCTTTGATCTGGTGCTGTTACCTTTATTTAATATAATCTTGCTCAGTATGAAGCCAGTGCAGCAGGCGTCCTGTCCACACATCTGACGACAGAGATAATACCCATCTGTTAAACTTGCTCCTCCTCCTGGGAAAAGAGCTGCGCTATACACACCAGAAGCAGCATTCCCAAAGTCAGTGCCCTTAAAGTCTTTGTGACCGGTGGTGGGAAATTCTTCTCCTGTGAGAAATAAATAGATGAAATCAATTTCTTGTCTGGGTGTCACATTTTATTTGTACCATGTATTTGATCTGTTTGATGTATAACTCTTCAGCCCAGAGTAAAGCTGGGTGAATGCCATTAGCAAGGCGCTACCCCAACAAGATGGCATTGAGGAGCATGGGAATTTGCTCCTCAGCATCATCTAGTGGTGGCAGTGCTGTGCGAATGGCATTTGCCCAGCTATACACTGGACAGAAGATTCATAATCAGCCCTTAGGTGTAATTTATAAAAAGGAATGGTTGAAAGGAAGTTTGTGTTATCCAACCAAATGAAATCTTCTGTTCTTTCTAAAATGCGTAGGTGGAATCCAGCTGGTTGGCATGATCAACAAAAACACTACCATTCCTTTCTGGTAGCTACAGTAGATACAGGGGAGACAACTCTTCATTGGGCCCAACCGTGACTGCTCCCACCCTTCATGTACAGCAGTGTGTACCTACAAAATGATCAGATCAGTTCACCTGAATGAGGTAAAGTGTATGCACTGCAAGGGTTAAATGCTTGTTAAGTCTAGAGGTGAAGGCGGGGTGTCCATAGGGTGGGGTTGCTGGATGGTGCACAATCAGTGGTGGAGTGGTGCTGGTGGACAGTGACGCCGCTAAGAGCCAGGCAGGGAGATGAGTAAGGGCTCTGCATCTCCCTGCCCACCTCTTAGCAACCTGGGACACTCTGGCTGGTGTCCCGCTGAGCTCCTGGCAACCAATAACATCACTGGTTGCCAGGAGCTGGGCAGGACACCGGCAAGTGTGTCCAAGGTTGCTTAGACCTGGGAGGAGAGACATGTATGGCCTTTATATATCTCCCTGCCCAGCTCTTAGCAACCTGGGGTGCTCTGGCTGCACTGCAAACATTGTGCAGCAGAGCGGTCATGGTGCTCTGCCTGGAGCCCCCCACATGACCCATGGAGATGCTGCCTCATTAAATGGATGGCCCTGGGTGGAGAAATAAGTTGTAATACTTGCCTCATTCTTCCTTGTTCCAGCAGCTTTTCTCAATGCTGTGCGACCTTTCTACTGTTCTACTGTGTCTCCTGAAGCCTCTTCTCATTGGCAATCTGACATCATCACATATTGCACTGTACTTCAGTCTTGAATTGTACGTGAGGATGTCAAAGGTCTGCCCATAACCCAGAGTGCCAGAGAGAAGAGGAGAGCACTGGCTGCTGGGGTGCTTGAAATAAAGTAAGTATTGCAGCCTATTTCTAGCCACCATTTAACTCTTGCATTGGTGAAGGACATTACAAGGGGGGGGGGTTGAGAACTTTAACACCACAGATTTTTTTCAGTCTGTGTCTCATTGGGGAGATTTCCCTCCACGTCCTCTTATTGGGTACACAGCAGGAAGTAATAAGGCCGGATGGATATGCCCTCTTGCCCTCACCTTCTGTTCCTGTGAAAACTCTATAGTTTTGGATTTCCCTCACTTTCTGTACAGGAGACAACAGTCACGACAATTTGGGGGGGTTAAACTCCGCTGTGAGGACACAGACAATGATAATACGAGACAGAGGTCCCAAACTTACCACATTCTAACCAAAAAACCTGATGCAACCTGATTTGCAGATATTGCTGGGCAAACCAATACACACACACATATCTGTTTACAGTGCTGAAATTGGGGGATCCCAAGCACTTTTTTTAAACTGTTGCTGGCTCCAGTTTACATATATGTGGCAACATGGCAGAAGGCTGCCAAATATATGCCATATATGTGTAAAACCAGTCCCACTCTTTTGTGCTGTCACAGACAATTCACAGTCACAGCTTACAATCAGAAGCCAGTAGCATGGCCTCCCAATTACATTGGGAGTCCGACTCACAGTCAATCATGTTGATCACATGATCGGGAAGGCCAGGAACAGCATCCGTTATATTGGTCTGTAGTGGGAGTTTGATATTAAGCCATGTATTTCATATTGATGATAATCAGCATACACACTATTATTAGGTTACTGAAAGTTTTAGCCCTGCTGAGCATTTCACATATAATAGATACGATTTAGATGAATCCTCTACTTTCACATGAGTAATGTACCGTAGGGAATAATGAGTAAGTTAACTGATAAGTCCTGCTTTTATATCATGCACAATTAATAGTGTCCTGATCTATAGTGGAAACATCATATATACATGTAATACATAAATGTAATTGTATTAATAAGCAATATGTGGAACATTTAGCTATTTAGAGCAAGGTAACTAGAGTCCTTGTAGGACATTTGGGTTTGTATATTGAGGTAACTAGAGTTCATGTAGAACATTTAGGCCTTATAGGTTGAGGTATCAAGAGTTCAATGACAGAAAGTCTTAAACATGTTTCTGACCTTGGCTTAAGAAACGATAGGTTGCATGCCAGGATAGCTGTCCTCTAACATTAATGTGAGGGAGTCTTATCAAGACAGGAAGACCCATCTAATGTTCTTGGCACCATATAATATAAGTACTGGGTGGAATTATTATCTGTTTTTTTGGAGGTAACTCAAGGTAACACATATGGTTCTATTGCTGAAATCAGTATAAAAAGGGCCTGCAAGTTCATATTCCTTGAACTTGTCTGAATTGCTGCCAAATAAAGCTGCTTCTTGAGGATCTGCCTGGTGTCGATCCTCTACTTATTCTACTTATCCTTTGTGGCATCCCCAGTATTTAAAATCTCTGCTGTTCAACTATCCCATATAAGAATTATAGGAACAGTCTGCTTCCCTATTTATTAAACTCTGCAAAACCCAAATACTACTGTAACTCCCTTCTTGTGGGCCTAACACTACACAGGATACCCCCCCCTTCAATCATGAATGTGATGTCCGTAAAAAATAAGTCAAGGCAACTGTATTTTTCTACAGTTGCCTTGATTTATTTTTTACAGATATATTACATGACCTGGATGAATCAGAACCTTCACAGACATATCATGAATGCTGCTGCCAGACTCACCGACCATCCACCTTACCGACCATTCAATATCTACCACCCCCCTCTGCCATTCTCTCCACTGAGGCTCACTTGCTCAACAAATACAATTAAAAATACTAACAACAACATACAAATCCATCTATACAACTGCCTCCAGTTACATCACCAACCTCATCTCAAAATATAACCCAAACTGTCCTCACCGCTCCTCTCAAGACCTCCTGCTCTCCAGCTCTCATATCACCTCCTCCCATGCTCGCCTCCAGTACTTCTTCAGAGCCTCTCCCATCCTCTGTAACTACCTTCCCCCTTCTGTCCGCTTATCTTCAAATTTGTCCACTTTAGACGATCCTTAAAAACTCATCTCTTCAGGGAAGCCTGTCCCACCTCAACATGATAACTGTCCTTTTACTTCTTCCATTAACTCATCCAAAACAATGTATTATCTTTTGTATCACTTGCCTCTTCTTTTATATTGTAAGCTCTG